GAGGGCAGACCTCCCCATGACCTGGGGCAGTGAGGGCAGCCTCCCCCATGACCTGGGACAGTGAGGGCAGACCTCCCCATGACCTGGGGCAGTGAGGGCAGCCTCCCCCATGACCTGGGGCAGTGAGGGCAGACCTCCCCATGACCTGGGAAAGCGAGGGCAGCCTCCCCCAGGACCTGGGACAGCGAGGGCAGACCTCCCCATGACCTGGGGCGGTGAGGGCAGCCTCCCCCAGGACCTGGGGCAGTGAGGGCAGACCTCCCCATGACCTGGGGCAGTGAGGGCAGCCTCCCCCAGGACCTGGGACAGCGAGGGCAGACCTCCCCATGACCTGGGGCAGTGAGGGCAGCCCGCACCCCCACCAGGACCCCGGGCGGTGAGGGCAGCTCCCCCTTCTGGGCCCTGAGACACTCTCTCTGTTTTCCAGTGAATCGGTGTTTTCCATCACCCGAAGCCACCCTGAGGGCAAGAGAACTCTCGTATTTCACGGGGTAGGTTATCTTCCAGGGAGACCGGTCAGAGCGGTCCCCCCACCCCCAGGCTGGCCTTGCCTGGAGACTGAGCAAGGCTGGGAGGCAGCGTTAGGCGCCCAGGGATGGTTGTCCGATTTAGCCTGAGGACAGTCATAGCTGAGGCTTGCAGTACCGGCCCACCCTCCCCCTGGGGGCCGAGAGGGGAGGCCCAGGACTTCACTTCCTGGCCGCAGACTGCGACTTCCGACTTCCTTCCGTGGTGCAGGAATGCCACGACCTGGGGAGCTCAGGTTTCTCAGGGGGCACCTCCAAGCTGGGGCACTGCGATGGGGCGGTGGTGCTCCAATCTGATGCCTTGGCGGGCTCACCCTACCCCAGAGTTTCTGCATCAGCACGTCTGGGGTGGAGCCCGAGAACCTGCATTTCGAAGGGTCCCAGGTGATGCTGCTGCTGCTGGTTGGGATCCCACTTTGAGAACCTGTGTTCTGGGGTTCTCACCTCTGGTGGCCCAGTCCCCAGAGGCGGGATCCAGGTGGAGGTGTGCAGGAAAGCCGCCAGGCATTGGCCTAGAGATGTCACCTGGGAGCGCCTCACAAACGCAGACCCCAGGCCCTACCTGGAGACTCTGCCCTGGTAATTGGCGGTGCAGGGGGGCTGCATATGTCACTGACTGCCAGAGACCCTGGAGGCTCAGGGCCGCGCTGCACCCAAGGCCCCAGGGCACTGTGCTCCAGGCTTTCAGTTCTCCGGGAGAGACACCGAGGCCCTCTGCCCTGCAGACCTGGGACCCCTCAGCAACCGCCAGAGGGAACCAGCTGCGTGGAGCCGACTCAGACTCAGGGTGACCCCATGTGTGTCAGAGTAGAACTGCGCTCCACAGGGCTTTCAGTGATTCACTTTTCAGAAGTAGGTCGCCAGGCCTTTCTCCCACGGAGCTGCTGGGTGGGTTCAAACCGCCAGCCTCTGGGTTAGCGGCCAGTAGCAAACCTCATGTGCCACCCAGGGCCTTATTTCAAGAGAAGCCCTTAAGAAAAAGAAACAAAATTATGCTGAGTGAAATAATTCAGTCACAAAAGGACAAATATTATATGATCCCACTTTTATGAAATATCTGGAATAAGCAGATATACATGGGGTCGCCGTGAGTCATAAAGATTTCAGCCCAGAAAAACCAATGGAGCGATTCTACTGTGTAACACATGGGGTCGCCATGAGTCAGGGGCCCACTGGACAGCAGCTCCACAATCTACTGAAATAGCAGAAGGCCTGGTGACAGCAGGCCTGCGTGCATGTATTAACTGTCCCTGGTCCCTGAGTATCAAGAGGGAGCTGCAGTCCCCACTGGCCCCTTTTGCTCGTCAACAACACCTGTGTGGTCCTTGGAGGCCCCTGACTGTGGGTGGAAAGAGCCCCTCGGGCCCGCCCCCAGCCCCAGGTTGGCCTAACCAGCCCCCTCCCTGTTGGGTGTTTCTTTCCTGCCCCCCAGGACCACCTGGCTGGTCCTCACGCTGACCCTGGTGTTCCTGCTGCTGCTGAGCATGGCAGTGAACGTGACCTTACTCCGAGGCTCAAGGACGGAGCGGAACCGGCACCTGGACGGCGGTTACGTCTACCACCCTCTGCGGGAGGTGAACGGGGAGCTCCAGCAGCGGAGAAGGAGCAGCTGGGAGACACTCACGGCCCTTTCAAGGACTGAAGCCTCAGTCTGCCCGGACGGTCTGTCCTGAAGACCATGTCCACGTGCTCCAGCGGCTGCAGGGGACATTCCAAGGCCACTGGCATGGACGCATCCCAGTGGCCCCTGTGCCTCAGCCCCGCACCTGTCCTGCTTGGGGACATGCACCCCCAGCAATACCGTGCTCCCTGGAGAGACTCTGCCTCCTTCCCCCTGTCTGTGTCTGCTGCCTGTGAGGCCTGTCCTCCAGGGCCTGCCCCCGTGCCAAAGAGGCTCCAGCCTGCTGGAGAAGGGGCCGCTGGCGGCCAACCTCCCGGTGACCAAATCATGGCCAAGTGGCAAATACCACCCGGCCCCCTTGACAAGTCTCAGCCTTCCTGACCTCGTCACTGAATCTGCCAACTTAGAATTCTACTTCCTAAGTAGCACGCTCCTTAGAAGAAGGGATGCGGGCAGAGGGGATGGGAGAATCACCACATTCACAGACCTATTTTGTCCTGCATCGAGAGGGTTTTCTATCATCTGAATAAATTGTTATAATAAAAGGAGCCAGCAGGTGGTTTCGGAATTCTGAGTCAGGGACGTTGGGGCCCTTGGAGGTCTTAACAGGTTCTGTGGGTGGGGCAAACAGTTTGCGCTCGGCTGCTCACAGGGTGGTGGTTCATACTCATCCAGCAGCGCTGCAGAAGAAAGGCCTGGTGATCTGCTTCGGTAAAGATGACAGCCAAGAAAACCCTATGGAGCAGTTCTATTCTGTAACACATGGGGTCGCCATGAGTCAGAATCTACTTAATGGCAACGGGTTTGGTTTTGGTTTTGGAGGTCGTAACAGGTGGGGTTTCTTAACCTGAATCTTGACACTCCTGCGGCAGAGGTCAGACACGGGCAGCCCAAAGCCTCGTCCGGTTCCGTGGTGTATTTTGTGTACCCCAGTGCTTCTCCAACTTGTATGACTGACTTCACTCAGGATGATGTTTTCAAGGTTCATCCGTGTCGTGGCATGATCAGGCACATGGATCACTCAGAGCTTGTGTTAAAATGCAGAGTCTGGGGTTGGGACTGACATGCTGCATTTCTGGGAAGCTCCCAGGTGATGCTGATGCTGCTGGTCCGTGGGCCACACCGTGAGCAGCGAGGATTTAGTCCGACACCAAAAACCGAACCTGCTGCCGCTGAGTCCATTCCGACTCCCAGCAACCCTACAGGACAGAGAACTGCCCCACAGGGTTTCCAAGGATTCAAACTGCCAACCTTTTGGTTAGCAGCCAAGCTCTTAACCACTGCGCCACCAGGGCCCCATGGATTTAGCCTACACGGTATTTTTTTTAATTTTATTTTGTTGTGGTGGTTGAGAATATACACCAGAACATAAACCAGTTCAGCTGTTCCTGTATGTACGGGTCAGTGACACTGATGAAATTCTCACCCTCCCGAGTTGTTCCTCCACCATTAACATAAACTCACTCCCCTGTAAGGTTCCTATCTAATCTTTCAAGTTACTGTTGTCCATTTGATCTTATATATAGACCTTAAAAGAGCATAATGCTCAAGGCAGACATTCTTTACTAGTTAAGCTAAACTATTGTTTGGTTTTAAGAAGACTTCAGGGGATATTTTTGGTTTAAGGTTTAACCACACAGTATTTTTATAAAATGGAAATTAGTTACCAAGGTTTAAAAATCCAGATTGACAACTCCAGAGTTCTGGTTTCTCTTTCACAGAGAGAGGTCTGGCAGCCAGAGCTGGTATACTGGGACATGTTTCACATAAGGAGGGTCATACAATCTGCGTGTTTTTGTGTCTGACTTATTTCACTCAGTGTGATGTTTTCAAAGGTCATCCGTGTCATAGCATGAATCGGAACTCCATTTCTCTTTACAGCTGAATAGCATGCCAGTACATGGACAGACCATATTTTTCGTTTATCCATTCATCTGTTGTGAATGCTTCAAGTTTTAATTCACTCTTCCAGAAATGTAAACAACCATGTCCACATGTTCCTCTGGGGACTTTATGTTGAAACTCCACCAGAAAAGTTCATTGTGTATTTTGCGCTCTTTTAATGAATAAAGCTGCCCCTGGTCGCTCTGATGGTTTCCCCCAAGTTCAGGGGCAGGAAATAGCCACAGAACTTCAGACCATTATCCATCCCTTTGATGTACTCCTAAGAGAGCCAGCCGTTCCAAGCCTGGGAGAGTGTCTAGAGCATGCCCCAGAGTCGTACCACCTGAGAGCAAGGAAGCAGGTGCACCGACCTACCAGCACCTGCTCATCGTTGGCTGAGGGCACAGGATGTGGGTCACAAGTCTCAGCAGCCGTACTCGGAACAGACTCGATTCCCCCAGGGAATGTTCTGCAATGGCGGGTTTCTGGGCCCCAACCTAGACCCACTGAATCTCAGTCTCAGGGATGGGGGAGTCCCCCGCAGGGTTCTCAGGCAGCAGCCCCAATCACAGGCTGTGGAAACCATCACCCTGAAGACTCCCACCTGTGCAGGGGACAGCTCTGTCCTCTGCTGTGCTGGCAGCTGAGTTGGAAAAGTTGCAATATTGTGCATCCGCTTCACAGACTCCAGGCCCAGAGGGAGCACTGCAAGGCCTTCAGAGGGTCCGACGTGGTGTACCAGAGGGTGTGAGTCCTGCCCACACTTGGGCGGATTATTCAATAGGCAAGGTAAGCACGGTGCTTACCTTGCTTACCAGATCTGTAGTGAACAATTTCACATTTTTCCACTACATCAAAGACTCTGCTTCTAGGGATGGCTGGCATCTGTCTGTCTCCCAACTCCACAGCACCTTCCTACAGAATCGAGGCCTTTTTTCACATTTGTAATCCCTGACAGGGACGGATGATCCAGTCAGCAAGGTAAGCACAGGCTTACCTGTGCTTACTTACTAATCTGTAGTGAACAGTTTCACATGAGTTTCACTACTTCCTGGGTAGTCTGCCCCTGTCCACACTCATCCTCCCTGTGGCCCTGTGGATTTTGTTTTTAATCTGTCATAGGGCTATCTATCAAGGAGTCCCTCAGTAGGGCAAATGGTTAATGAGCTTGGCTACTAACGGGAAGGCTGGAGGTTCTAATCCACCCACAGGACCTTGGAGGAAAGGTCTGGCAATCTACTTCCAAAAGGTCACAGCCATTGAAAACCCTATGGCGTGCAGTTCTACTTTGACACTCTTGGGGTTGCCGCGAGTCGGAATTGACTCCACAGCAAGGGATAGCTATTATTGCGTGCCCAACATCCAGTCCCTCTCCTTTAGGAACAGCCGTGTCTCAGGCTGAGTTCCGCCTGGAAACAGGACCTGAGACAAGGATGTGAGCGCAAGGAGCTCATCTGAGGTGCATTCCAGGACACAGGGCAGTGGGCGAGTGAGACCGGGAAGGGAAGGCAGCTGCGCAGGATGCATTAGTGAGTGGGCCATTGCTGTGGGCCTCTGGAAGAGTGTCTAGAGCATGCCCAGAGTTGTAGCACCTGAGAGCAAGGAAGCGGGCGCATTGATCTATCAGCACCTGCTCATCGTTGGCTGAGGGCACAGAATGTGGGTCAGAAGTCTCAGGGCCAGACCCGGAGCCCCGTGGCCAAGAGTTCTGTGTGCTGGGCAGTTCCCACATCCACACATCTCAGCTGCTTATAAAACTGTAGCATGGGTCCCGAACCCAAACCCACTACCATTGAGTCAATTCTGACTCATAGCAACCCTACAGGGTAGAGTAGAACTGCCCCATAGGGTTTCCAAGGCTATAATCTTTATGGCAGTAGACTGCCACTTCTTTCTCCCGCAGAGCAGCCGGTGGGTTCAAACCGCCGATCTTTCGGTTAGCAGCCAAGAACTTAACCACTGCCCCACCAGGGCTCCTTTAGCATTGGGAAAGACCCCATAAAAAGGTTCAATCCTGGGGTCAATGGGGGGGCTTTCAGGGGCTCTTTAAAGACCTGATGTGGAAATGGAAGTGTGTGTGTGTGTGTGTGTGTGTGTGTGTGCAGTGTGTGTGTGTGCAGTGTGTGCGTGGGTGCATGCGTGTGTGCAGTGCGTGTGGGCGCATGTGTGTGCGCAGTGCGTGCGTGGGCGCGTGCGTGTGCGCAGTGTGAGCGTGGGCGCGTGCGTGGGCGCAGTGAGCGTGTGGGCGCATGCGTGGGCGCAGTGTGCGGGGGCACGTGCGTGTGTGTGTGTCCACAACTTTCATCAGATCCTCAGTCTCAGAAAAATCTTGGCTGCAGAAAACCCCGTTAATCAGAAGTTTCAGTTTGTGCTCGTTGGAGACCCACATTCCTCAGAAATGCCCTAGGGCAGGGTGGAGGGCGCTGGAGGGAGGAGAGGGGGAGATGGGCTGGGGAGAGGCTTGAAGCACAGGCCTCAGCCATCCCAGAGAGCTCCCAGCTCCTCTCCTTCCAGGCATCCCGAGAGCTCCGCTCCCTCCAGGCCTTGCCCCATCTCCCGCGGGGGCTGCAGACCAGCCTCGCAGCTCGCCCAATTGCAGCCTCCCCAGAGGAAGAACCTGTCACAGAGGCAGCCTCTGGGGAACGTTGTGCCCTCTGTGCCCACACCCCAGGAGCGTGCTCCTGGCTGAGACCCGCGTCAGCAGTGACCCGTTCTTGGTCGCCCGCCCCAGGCGGCTCAGTCTCGCGCTGATGGCTGCACCCACGCATCAGCTGTTACTTTGAAACCGCGGACGTTGGTGGGAGATGACTGTATGGTATCCAAGCCGGTGAGGGTCCGCTCCTCAGGCTGGATTGGATGTGATGGGCAGGGCTGAGTAAGACAAACCGGTGCAGACAGGTGTAAACAGGGGGAGACAAGTAGCCCTACGCCAGCACACAAAGGCACCACACCTCCTCTCCTCACCCAAATGATGGTGTTTGGCCCACAGCTCCAAGGGTCACGTGATCTGTGTCACAGCCAGCGTCCCCTCTGTCAAGCGCTCACAGGAAGTGCAGACGGTACCCTGGACAGGGTCTCAGCACTATGCTGTCCTTGGACTCCAGGCCAGACTCCGTAAACCCCAGGGGACAGTGATGTCAAACAGCAGGGTGGCCCAGGAAAGATGGAGACCTGGAAAGACGATTCCAGAAACTCACCCCTAAAATTCCCAGTCAGCAGCGATGAGTGGGCCCTAGGGATCTGCGTTTTAAAGAAGGGGCTGAGTAATCCCGTTGCAGGCAATCTGGCACCACTCTGGGAAGGAGGCTGCTCCTGGTGACATCTGTGTGGGCGCAGAAAGTCACAGTGGTTGTAGCAGCAGATGGCTGGGCGGTTATTTGAGGAGCTGATTCAATGGAAAACTTATTCGAGAGCAATGCTTCTCAACTTTTGTTTTTAATCATTCCCCTCCCCACCCCTGGCATTGGAGGTTCAAGTCTACCCAGAAGCACTTCAGAAGAAAGGCCTGGCAATCTCCTTCTGAAAAATCAGCCATCAAAAATCCTGTGAAGCACAGTTCTCCTGTGACACATGCAGTTTGCCATGAGGCGTCGTCAACACAACCGCAACTCTTTGTTTGTTGTTGTTGTTCGTTTTCATGGACCTTTTGACTTTTTCTTCCTAATCACACCTCTCACAATTAAATTTGAATATCACTGATAGTCTGTCTGTAAATCTGCTTCTGTCCATATATCTGTGCTTTATACGTAATAAGATCACCACCACCATCACCACCAAGAGCGAGTTCTTGACCCCTGTTGACAACGTGCTAACCAAAATCAAACCTGTTACCATCGAGTCGATTCCGACTCATAGCGACCCTATAGGACGGAGTAGAACCGTCCCATCGGGCTTCCAAAGAGCGGCTGGTGGATGCGAACTGCCGACCTTTTGGTTAGCACCTGAGCTATTAACCACTGTACCAACAAGGCTCTCTGACAATGCTCTAGAGCCTTCTAAACAACAGCTAAGACATTCTTGAACAAGCCCAGGAAAACCACCAGGGTTTCAGGAAGTAGATGAGAGATATATCCAAATCTAAAATGTTTAATGCTTCTGGTTGGAGCAAATTATCAGGCAAGCAAGAAATACCACGTTTTACCAGCTGAAACAGACTTTGTGGAAAAGAAGTACACCACTCTCATTGAACAATTAATTTCACAGAGGGGAAAAAATGCCAGGCAGTGCAGAGCGGGAACAAAGTCTGAAACTTCCCTTATTCCAGTCTGTGAAGAAAACATTCTCTAACTGGTAGGGAAAACGCCAGATTACCGCTCTCCTGGGTTAGTGGATTTACCCAAAAAACACCAGCTCCTTCCGGAAGGGAGAATCTGACTGGTCACCCAACTAAGAGGGAAATAATGGCTTGACACCCCCTTTTCCCCGGACTTACACAGCACTCTGAGCCCTTCTGTCTCATGAAAAACAATGACAAGTATCCTTGGGAAAGACCCTGGAATCTTTGGATGAGAAGCATTACGTAATTGGAAAACAGCTGGCATTTACTGAGTGTGCTAAGGACTTCACAAACACTATCTCACTTAGTCCCACTACAACCCAATGAGGTAGGCACTCCTACCCCCATTTTACAGATGAGGAAACTGAGGCACAGAGAGCTTAAATCACCTGCTCAGGATTACACAGCTAGTGAAAGGAAGGCTGAGGTTCGAACGCCACCCCGTCTAAATTCAAGTCCCAGGCTCCTCAGCACCATGGCGCCTGGGCAAAGGGTTGTAGCTAGCAGTTGTTGCTGCTACCGCTGTTCTGGCCGTAATGGATCCATGAGCGAGACGGGGAAAGAAGGCAACCCAAGGACCTTCCGGCCCTTGGGATGTGGGGGTATCAAAAAGCCCAAAGTCTGGCAGCCCCTCCTTTGCCATTGTAATTCCAAGCCTTCCAAAGGCAAGAGGAAGGGGTTGTTGATGCTTTGATGGGCCACAAAGACCCCCAGCATGGGAGGAGAACCAGAGCAGACACCACAATGGGCATCTATTGGTGGTGTGGCTCAGCTCCCCTTGTCCATTGGGGGATTGACCCTCCCCGATTCCACTGTCACTTCTGGGAGGAATGTCAGTCATAGGACCCCTGGCCCCTTGGCCAATACGGGCCATAGGAATAAGCACGTGACTGAAGCAGGACCAATCAGAGCCTTTCCGTGAGATCTGAGATGGGGAAGAGAGCATCTCTCTGCCTTTGAGGTCGTGAGCCATGTGGTTGTAGGCTTGGGGCTGCTGGGAGCCACCAGATGAAGGAGAGAATGAGGCCAGCGTGCAAACATGCGGGGATGACAGACTGAGCCCTGAGGACCTTGGGCTCCTGGATCCAACCATACCTGAAGCACACTCAGCCCTCCCAGTTTCAGGGGCCAGTGCCTTCCCTGCTTGGCGTAAACCGGTGTCAGTGGGTTTCTCCCAAGGGGAGAGAGAACTCTCAAGAGGAGTGCCAAGGGGGCCTGAAACTCCTCATCCATCGTTAAGACTGGATCAATGATGGCAGACCCCCCTCTCTGGAATCAAGAGATCCAGGTTCCCCCAGTTATCAAAAGCCGATTAAAATCCCAAGTCAAGGAACGGCTTCTTCCTCCTTTCTGTAAGCTAGAAATCCATGGAAAGATCATTTAAAACATCACAAATTGCTCTCAGCCATAAACGTCCCATGATGTGGGCACAGTTAGTTTTGAGAATGTCTCCCTCCAGTCTCTCTCGCTCTCTTGCAGGCGCACAATGCACGCACACGATTACACACCTTGATGCAGGGTGCAGTAATGGGTTTTGTTCATATACCTGAGACACGGAGAGCCAACAGGAAGTTGGATGAGGCGCTCTCCCTGCAGGAAGGAAGGGTCTCTAAAAAGAACGGCGTCTGCTCTGGGGTTTGGGTTGAGGTTGGTACGGAAGCCCTGCTCTCCTCATCCCATAATGCTGGGCCTGTGATGAGCTGACGAGCCCCATCCCTGTGGGTGTAAATGCACCCACTGTGCAAGGCCCAGGGTCTCTGGGTGTTGGCCACAGATAGCCCCCAACTCCAAGCTTACAGAGATAACAGTAATACTGAGCCCTCAGCCCCCAGATTGAAGCCCAGGCTGCCGATGGAGCTGTATTTCCCTTGCAGGCAGATATGAGTGACGTGGGCTGGGCATGAGGCAATAGAGAGAGGTGGGGACTGGGGCAGTCCACCCAGAGGCACAGGTGCTAAGGCCGCAGCTGGTTACTTTCATGCAGAAATGGTGGCCTCATTTTACCAACACCCCCAAATGCCTAAGAGCAGCTGGAAATCCTGAATTTGAAGTAAAATTTCCCAATTTTTTAGATCGCCCTATAGACAAAAAAACATACTAAAAGTAGGCAGATCAGACCACAGGCTGCCAGTTGGGGAGCTCTGATCTGTTGCCTCTTCTAGGGCCCAGAAAATGAAGGGAAAAGGTCCCCAGGTCTCCAGGAGACCCAAGACTCTCCCATCTAAGAACACAGGGAAAGTTGAGGTCAATGTTAGAGCTGGTTCTGTGGGTTAGATCTGCCCCAGGGAAGAGTCAACAAAGTCTCAGGATCCCTCCTGCAGGAAAGTTCTGATGCCATGCTGGAGCCTGGATCCAGCTGTACCTGAAGGCCCCTTAGACTGTTGAGTTACATGCACCAATGAATGGTTACCCTGTTTTTGTTTAAGCCACTGGGAGGTGGGTCTCTGTGACTTACAACCAAAAAAGTTGTAATTAAACTGCTAGCCTGCAGAGGAGTGTGGGGACAGCCTGAATCGCCTCTTCACTGCCTGGACCCTGGGCCTCCCCCACCCTCTTCAGATCAAGGGTGCTCAGAGCTAGGCCTGCCCAGCAGAGCACTGGGAAATGGCTTTTCCTTCAGGGTGGACTCCTCCCCACAGAAGCAGAGTCTCTGCTCATGTAACTGCTCAACCACCCACATCTTGGGACACTAGGCATCAAGTACAGAATCAGATGCCATGGTGAACACCTGCCATTTTGCCTGCCTAGCACCCTTTCCCCCTTCTTCTGAGGGGGACCCCAATATTCCTTTGGAGTACCCATTTGCCCATTCAGTCTACATGGCTGCCTCCTGGAGTGTGCATGTGACTCAGGCTGGCCAATTACTGTCACACACCCTGGTCACATGACCCGGTTGCCGGCCAATCAGTGTTTTCTATTCTGCTGGCAACTGTGATTAGCTCGGGAATGCGTGGGGGACCCAGTCAGGCTGCTTGAGACTCAATTCCGGGACATGACATTGGTTGGAACTTTCAGGAGAGAGAAGTTCTCTCTTGCAGCTGAGCTGGTGGGGAGGGCAGCTAGTGGTAGTAGGGGTCCCCTGCATGGGGAAGGGCTGCCTGAGAATGAAGAGGACCCAGGAGAAAGCAGAGCAAGAGGTGGGGGAGCAGGGCGAGCCCTGATGATGTCACTTGAGCTCTGAGACCCAGGTGGACCGACAGTGGTCACAGCGACCCCCTGGATCTTCATTACACAGTTTTGTTGCTTGCAGCCTCAAGATCCCAGACCTAGAGGCTCACATGGCACACAGGCTCCAGACACCGTGACTCTGACAGCATCTAGATCTGGGTCACCAGCCCATGTGGCCCCAGGCCTGGCAGCCAGCTGGATTCTGGTTCTGGACACTTCCAGATGGCCACGTGAGGCGCTATCTGGAGATGAGGGAGCTGCTGTGGGACTGGCCGGAGGAGGAGGAGGAGGTGGCCGCGCTGAGCTGGGAGAAGCCACTGGTGCAGGATTCCAGGCTGGACATGGAGCCCCTGGGGAGGCAGGCAGGGCACGGAGTTACCTGCTGGTGGTGACACAGCCCTGGGGCCGAGCCACAGCAGAGGGAAAGCTGTTGACGCTACAAATGAGGTCCCAGGGCTCACACCACGGGGCTGGTAACGGTCCAGGGCCAGGCCAAGCGCAGAGGGAGAAGCAAGAGAGCAATGATGAGAAATGAAGCTCCAGCCCTTCCCCCCCGCCCACCCCCAAACAGAGAGCTCTAACCGATGAGGGCCTTCCCACTGACCTGGACACAGCCTGGAAGAGTCCCTGGCCCCACCACCAGCCTCAAGCCCCATCCCCTCTTGCTCTCTGCCATCAAGCCACACGGGCTTCTGGCAGCTCCTTTGATGCCTGGCTGCCCTCCAGCCTCAGGACCTTTGCGCGTGCTGCTCCTGCTGTCAAAGCACTTTCTCCCTGCCCTGCCCCTTTGCTAGGTTAACTCCTACTCCAAACTTCAGAGCAGCACCACCCAGTAGAACTCAGCAATGACAGACGTGTTCCATGTCTGCTCTGTTCAATGTACAGCCATGAGCCACACGGGGCTACCGAGCACTTGAAATGTGGTACTGAGGAACTGAATGCTCAGTTTTGTTTGTCCTGATTGCTCGTTTAGATTGCTACATGTGGCTCGTTAGCTCCACATTGGACAGTGAGCTTTAGGGCCTCATTAAGCAAAGTGTAGGAACCCCTCAGTGGCACAAACTACTAGCCAAAAGGTTGGTGGTTCAAGTCTACCCAGAGGCACCTTGGAAGAAAGGCCTGGCAATCTGCTTCCAAAAGGTCACAGCCTTGAAAACCCTATGCGGTAGTTCTAGTTTGCACACCTGGGGTTGCCATGAGTCAGAATCAACTCCATGGCACCTAACAACAACAACGACAAATAAAGTGTTGTCCAGGGACCAGCAGCATCAGCATCACCCAGAGCTGGCTAGAAATGTAGCGTCTCCACCCCACACCAGACCTGCTGAATCTAAGCACTCAGTCACTAACTGATAGGTTGGTGGTTGGAACCCACCCAGAGGCACCGTGGTAGACAGGCCTGGCAATCTATTTCTGAAAGTCACAAGCTTGAAAACCCTATGGGGCAGTTGCACTCTGCAGACATGGGGTTGCCAGAAGCTGGAATCAACTCGGTGGCAATTAACAACTCCAATGTCACTTTCTCCAGAAAGCCTTTCCAGAAGCCTCCTGCACGCCCCCCTCCTATGCCAGGCCCCCCTGCCACAGGCTCACAGCGCACTGTATGAAGGGCCTGGGCATCTGGATATTCAGTCAGCAGGTGGGGTGCTCAGGAATGTGTCGGCCTGGCATGGAGGGGTGTCCTTGTCCCTCGTCCCTCCTACCTGAAGTCCTTGGATGTGAGCACCTCGTAGTAGTAGAGCAGTTTGCACTTGGGGCCGGGGCTGTGTAGGGCTGTCAGGACATCGTCCACGCCGGGGAGGCTGCAGGCCACGCTGCCGGGCGCCCCGTGCATCTGCCACTGCAGCAGGTAGACGCCAGGCCAGCGGGCCACGTGGGAGCCCTGGAACACAGCAGCTGCCTGAGTCTCTGTCCGCCTGGGCCCAGGGCCCAGGATGGGGCTGAGCCTTTGTGGGCTCCCAGGCCGAATGTGGATAAGTGGGCCCTGCTTTCTGTGCCGAGTCCCTGGGTGGTGCAAACCGTTAGAGTGCTTGCTGATAACTGAAAGGTGGGAGGTTCGAGTCCACCCAGAGGCACCTGGGAAGAAAGCCCTGGCAATCCACTTCTGAAAAGTCAGCCACTGAAAACCCTGTGGAGCACAGCTGTACTCTGACATACATGGGGTCACCATGAGGGGACCAGGAGAGCTTTGAAAGCCAAGGTGAGTCACCCTCCCAACCTTCCCACAGCTGCCTGAGGTCTGGCCCTGGGTGGGCCTACTGCACACCAGACCAGGGGGAGTGGACAAGGCCTGAAACTTAAGGTTGCACCACTTGACCCTGAGAGCGAGCACCATCTTAAAATTTGCACCCTCAGCCCTCTCTCACCCACCCTCACCTGGCCCAGCCCTCAGCCCCTTCTCCCACAGGCCCTCCTCTGGGATGAATGGTGCCCCCCTCTCCATCAGGGCAGCGCCCTCATCCTTCCGGTCTGATAATGCTGGATTTTACCTGAACCCTGTAGAAACAGCGATGGTTAGGGAAATCTCCCACCCTCACGACTTGTGCATGGGATAGTGCAGCGGGGTTGCATAGTATCCCCTTCAGTATGGTACAGCCTTCAGTTTGGATTGCACCAACATAAAGAAAGCAAAGATCCTCACAACAGGACCAATAAAGCAATATCATGATAAATGGAGAAACGATTGAAGTTGTCAAGGGTTTCATTTTACTTGGATCCACAATCAACACTCAGGGAAACAGCAGTCAAGAAATCAAACAACGTATTGCGTTGGGTAAATCTGTTGCAAAAGACCTCTTTAAAGCGTTGAAAAGCAAAGATGTCACTTTGAGGTCTAAGGTGCACCTGACCCAAGCCATGGTATTTTCAATCACCTCATATGCATGGGAAAGCTGAACAATGAATAAGGAAGACCAAAGAAGAAGTGATGCCTTTGAATTACGGTGTTGGCAAAGAATATTGAATATACCGTGGGCTGCCAGAAGAATGAACAAATCTGTCTGGGAAGAAGTACAGCCAGAACGCTCCTTAGAAGTGAAGGTGGTGAGACTTCATCTCACGTACTTTGGACATGTTATCAGGAGGGATCAGCACCTGGAGAAGGACCTCATGCTTGGTAAAGCAGAGGGTCAGCGAAAGAGAGGAAGACCCTCAAGGAGATGGATTGACACAGTGGCTGCAACAATGGGCTTCAACATAACAAGGATTGTTGAGGATGGCGCAGGACTGGGCACTGTTTCGTTCTGTTGTACACAGGGTCACTATGGGTTGGAATGGACTCGACGGCACCCAACAACAACAATGACAAAAGTTCATGCCCACCCTGAACTTCAGAAGGTGGCTTTATTTGGAAATAGGGTCTTTGCAGATGTAATCAAGGATTAGGGTGAGCCCTAACCACCCCCCGGCCCATGGTTGGTTTCTTTCTAAGAGAAAGGAGAGGGAGATTTGAGACCCCAAAGAGAAGCACGAGGAGGAGGAGGAGAAGATGGTGGCAGAGACTGGAGTGATGCATTTACAAGTCAAGCAACGCCAGGGATTGCCAGGAGGCGCCCGCAGCTAGGAGAAAGGCAGGGACGATCCTCCCCTAGAGCCTCCGGGGGAGCAGGGCCCTGCCAGCGCCCTGACTTCAGACTCCTTGCCTCCAGAACCAAGAGGGGATAAATTCCTGTTGTTTTAAGCCACCCAGGCACTCTGTTACGACAGCCCACTCCGCCAAAAAAAAAAAAAAACAGTTGCCATGGAGTCGATTCCGACTGATGATGACCCCACGTGTCGCAGAATAGAGCTGTGCTCCACAGGGTTTTCAAGGCTGTGGCCTTTTGGAACTAGATCGCCAAGCCTTTCTTCTGCGGTGCCTCTGGGTGGGTTCAAACCACTAACCTTTTGGTTAGTAGTCAAGCGCTTAACCGTCTTCGCCACCCAGGAACTCCTACGGCAGCCCTAGGGCACCAACACACCAGATACTGCTATGATTCCCGTTTCTCAGGTGGGAAAACCAAGGCTCCAGAGCTGGTGCTCTCCACCGCCAAGGTGCCGCCCCTCTCAGCAGAGGCCTCGCACATCTCCGACACAGCACTGAGTGCCCGTTGGCTGGGTGAGTATGTTTCTCTCCCTCGCTGCCCCACAGGGTCCCTGAGGCCGGGACCTCGTCTGCTTTGTCCACTGCTGCGTCCCCAGAGCCTGGCACCTAGGGGAGGCTCAGCAGTGTGTGATGGGGGACTACGTGAACAGAAGAACATGCACCTGGATGCTCTCCCCTTCCCGGCAGACGAGGGGAGCCTCCACGCGGCTGTAGTCTGTGCCCAGGACCCAGCCTTTGTCCACCAGCTGCCCGCCGGCCCTGGCCCCATGCTCCCGGGGACCCAGCGTGGGTGTGTGCTTGGCATGGTACAGGCTAAACACCACGTCCCCCCGCAGGATGTCGAAGTCCCAGGTGATGACCGACTCCCCTTCCAGAATCTCCATGGCAACCTGCAACGGAGACAGCCAGGCTGAGGGTCCAGGCCAGGACGAGCGCCTCGTCTCCCTCTGGAATGTCCCCAGGAGGAGGACAGCTGGGATGGGGGAAACAGCCTTAGGAGGTGCTGGGGGTGCCCACCCAGGTCTCCTTTCCTGGGCCACATGCTCAATCCCTCAGTGTGGGCCGCTAAGGCTCACAGCTGCTCCCCAGTCAGAGAACTGCTCTGGACAAAAGGAGTCACTTCTCTGAAATGCTTGGAAGGTTCTGCCCTACCCTGGGGGCGGGCCACAGCCAATGACTGACTGAGACAGCGTACAGTCGGCCGCTCCCTGGGCACAAGGCCGGCCATTCTGTGATGATGCCCACACTCCAAAGCTCCCCGCCGGCTCAGGCCGGGCAGAGGCTTAGATTCCTCCCCACGCCCGGCCTGCCCCACTCCTTGTAGGCTCTGCCTGAGTGCTGTCCATCACCCAGTCACTTGCACAAGAATCCTCGTTTCAGGCTCTGCATGTGGGGAACCTAAGGCCACCCCCTAGCCCCGCAGGCCCTCCCAGGCCAAGCCCAGCACCTCATGGGGGGTGCCCCGGAGCACGCTGGCCGAATGGTAGGTCTCAGCCCACCGCCGCAACTGGTCGGCACGTTCATGTTCCTCCTCCGTCAGATAGAGGGACCTGGGGACCAGTCCTCCTTCAGGGACATTACACTGAGGGACAAAGACAAAGGGTGTCAACAAGAACCGTATGAGCCCACGAATGTGGAATATCTAGAATAAGCAAATGCATAGAGACGGAAAGTACAATGGTGATTAACAGGGGCTGGGGGAGGAGGACTGGGAGTTACTGCTTACGGGGCTCAGGGTTTCTGTTTGGGGTGATGAAAACGTTCAGAAAACAGTGGTAATGGTTACACAACATGTGAGTGTACTTTAGGCCGCTGAGTTGTACACTTAAAAATGGTTAAAGTGGTACATTTTGTTAAAAGGTACAGTCATAGAAAACCCCGCGGGGCACAGTTCTACTCTGACACACATGGGGTCACCATTGGTCAGAATCCACTCTATGGGTGTGGTGTTTTGGTATATCTTGCCATAACTTTTAAAAATTAAAACAAAAGATAAGACAAAGGGTGTCAGGTCAGGGGCCATCCGGGCCTGGCCTGACCCAAGAAGGTGCTCTGTGACCCCTGAAACAACACTTAGCACAGCCCCCTGTACTGAGCTGGGAGACGGACTTCTGTGGTGCCACGTTACCCCCAGAACTACCTCTGGGGTAAGCACTATTATTCTTCTCATTTCACAGAGGAGGAAACAGAGGCTCAGAGAGTCAGGTCCCTTGCCCAAGATCACACAGCAGAATGGGGCTCGGCCAAGATGTGAACCCAGGTTTATCAGACCCCTAGGCTCATGGTCCTTACCCCTCTGTTGGGCTGATGCCTAAGCCTGGGGCCTCTCCCACACTGCACCCCCCAGGGGCCGTGTTCCCTCCTCCGTGTTGGGGATGGAACAGTCATGGGCTGTTATAATATACAGGCTTCCCCAAACCAAAGGCATCCTGGATCCCCAGGCCCTCAGGAGACCCCTGCCGTTGCTAGAGGGACCGCCCCCCGCCGGCCCTTTCACTTGGGAAAATGCCAGTATTAACAAGGTGAGGCTGCTGCCCACTGCCCTTAGATCAGTCACCTGAGACCTGCAGACCCTCTTGCTAAAAATAGACCGTGCATATGTATTGCAACCAGCGGCGAGAGAGCGGCAAGGCTGGCCCTGTTCCTCTGAAGAGCCTTTTTTCACCCCGAAATTATGCACGCTTGCTGTTCAGTACTTCCATTAGAGAAGAACAGAGAGGGACCTGCCCGCCCCTCTGTCTTTCAGCCCCAGGGGAGGCAATAAAAGGGGTGTGGACCCCCCCACCCCCAAAGCAGCTGCCTGATGCTCCCAAGGTGGTGTGTGGATGTACTTTGGGATAAATCCCTTTGGGTACACCAGCCCTGGATCCAGGGCCGCTGGGACATTGAAGTCGCTGCCCCTGCAGCAGAGGACGGAGCGAGCGTGTAAACTCTGACGGCTGCTTAGCAACGCCTTGGAGAGGGAATAAGCATGGTAAACCTCTGGTGGAGTCCTTGGTGGCACTGGTTAATGTGCTCGGCTACTAACAGGAAGGTAGAAGTTCGAGTCCATGCAGAGGCACCTCGGAGGACAGGCCTGGCAATCTACTTCCAAAAAATCAGCCATTGAAAACCCCATGGAACACAATTCTACCCTGACACACATGGGGTCACCATGAGTTGGAGCTGATTCAATGGCAACTGGTAAACCTCTGACCTGGTGTCTGGGTTTCCTGAAACTTCCGTCTCTCTTGTGTTTCAAAGAACCTACGTAAGGTCACACACTCAGAAAGGAGTCACACTGTTTGGGGAAGCTCCTAAGATAAAGCTGTGTCCTCCAAAGAGCCAGGATGGCCCTCTCCAGGTAAGAGCCCTACTCTGGCGCTCCAGGGGCTGCGTCCTGCAGCCCCAGGGCCCAGGAATCCTAGCACCAGAGGCCCCGAGGAGATGACAGGCCTCCGGGGCTACCCATCCTGCCCACCAGCAGAGCCCAGGAGCCCCAGCCACTGCACTCACCACACACTCGCCCCCCAGGAAGTCGGGGATCACCTCCTTATCCAGGTAGTCCACGAGGCCCCCGGGGCCCTGGTAATTGCTGCCACTGTAGATGAGGAATTTCTGCCTGGTGTTCTCGTTGATGAAAGGGCTGATCTGGAATGGGGGAAACGGTGAGCTGGAAAGCTTTTTCTTTTCATTGAACCATTCCCAGTTCCAGATGGTTCTACTGTTGAACTGTTTCATGCTTGCTCTACCATGCTAAGTGCCTCTCATTCATTCATTTACCATTATTGAACCCACCCACGAGCATCAAGGGTGCAGTGAGAAACCAGATCAACAGGCAGCTTGTGGCCTGATGCTAAAAATACTTTCCATCTGGGATCAAACACAGTGTGGTCCATCCATCAGTGGAATATCGCTCAGCTGTGCTACATGGATGGGCCTTGAAAACTTGATTCCAGACACAAAAGGCTACAAATTGTATGATTCCATTGGTGTGAAATGTACATAATAGGCAAATTCGTGGAGACAGAAAGTAGATTAGTGGTTGCCTAGGGGTTGAGAGGAAGGAGCCCTGGGGGCACAACAGTTAAGCACCCGGCTGCCAACCGAAAGGTCAGCAGTTTGAACCCACTCAGCGGCTCCATAGGAGAAAAGACCTGGTGATCTGCTTCTATAAAGATTACAGCCTAGGAAACTCTATGGGGGCAGCTCTACTCTGTCCTATAGGGTCACTAAGAGTCAGAATGGACTCGACAGCACACGACGACAACAACAACAACAGGGGTTGGCAGCTTACAGAGGGACCCCCCGCCATCATCAGCATCTACCAGGGCGGCTCACAGAGGCACTCCCCACCATCATCAGCATCCATCAGGGCAGCTCACAGAGGGACGCCCCTGCCATCACCAGTATCCACCAGGGCAGCTCACAGAGGGACCCCCCGCCATCATCAGCATCCACCAGGGCGGCTCACAGAGGGACCCCCGCCCATCATCAGCTTCCACCAGGGTGGGGCACGACCCTGGCTGCCGCTCTCACCAGTGTCCAGAGCACGGGGAAGACGCGGGGGGCCCGCACGATAAGCAGCCGGCCCAGGGTCTCGGGGTAGTTGTCCTCCACCACCTCGATCATCCGCAGCAGCGCCTTCACCCCCGGCCGCCACAGGTGCCGCATGTTGAGCCCCTCCAGGTCCACGAGGCAGGTCCAGGAGCTACGGCAGAGACGGCCCCCTCACGCCACCTCGCTCTGCCTCTTGCCACGCCCCCAACACCCTCCCAGAATCCCAGAGAGACGGATGGAGGGGGCAGCTCAGTAAGGCAGGGCTGGAAGGAGTGGGGTGGGATGGGGCACATGGTGAGGAAGTTAATAGTGTGGATGCCAAGGCGGAGCACCTGGATTCGAGTCTCACCCCCACCCGAGAGCTGTGTGACATGGGCAAGGAGCTTGACCTTCTTCACCAGGAGAGTGGCAGCGACAGTTACAGTCCCCACCTCAAGCCATTGTTAGGATTAAATCAGATGGTGTAGGTAAAGCCCCCCGCCAGCCTGGCACACAGCACACACACTGTGAAAGCTGGTTGTTATTATCAATTGCTGAAGAGATGCTAACTGCTAAATACAGAGAGCGTGGAAGACGTGCTCCAGAGCCAGATGGCTGGGTACAAATCCCAGCTCTGCCACTTACCAGCTCAGTGACTGGGTGAGCTCCACCCCTCTGAATCTCCATTTCCCGTTCCATGAAAACAGGGACGAGAACAGTCCCTGCCTCACTGGATTGTTCTAAGAACTAGGTGAGGAAATTGGCTTAGCTGTGTTTATCACTTAGGGGGAATTCGCTCCCAGCACAGAATCTTGCCTGATGGGACGGCCATACTGTTTTGTGTTGCCTTCACACCTCTTCTGGCCTTCCTCGTTGACAGAAAGCACCTGGAAGGTAGAGACAGCGCTGGGAGGTGTTAGCATGGTGGCCCCACCTGCGGACAGCCCTCCTGCAGGCCCAGCCTGGCCACGACGGGGCTCCAGAAATGGCCCCACTCACGTGCTGCAGCAGCGCCTCCTCCCCCACCGCCTTCATCAAGCCTTTGGTGTCCATCTGGCCCAGGCGAAGGATGTAGAGGGGGCGGCCATCTAGGGGGATGGGGCCAAGCAGAGAGAAGGGCTGGTTATTCAGGGGATACTGATGAGAGAGGCAGGGAGTCCCTGGGTGGTGCAAACAGTTAACACTTGGCTGCTAACCAAAAGGTTGGAGGTTTGCGTCCACCCAGAGGTGACTTGGAAGAAAGGCCTGGCAACCTACTTCCAAAAAATCAGCCATTGAAAACCCTATGGATTCCGAAACTATTACCCTGAGATGATTTTTAAACCTTAAGCCAAAAATATCCCCTGAAGTCTTCTTTAAACCAAACAATAGTTTAGCCTAACTAATAAAGAATGCCTGTCTTGAGCATTGTGCTCTTTTAAAGTCCATCTATATGGGATCAAACTGACAACAGCAACTCGAAAGTTTAGATAAGAAACATAGGGGGCAGTGAGTGTATGTTAATGGGGGAGGAACAATTCAGAAAAGGAGGGTGAGGATAGTTGCATAACTTGAAAAATGTAATCAACTTCACTGAAGTGTACACGTAGAAACTGTTAAATTGGTGTATGTTTTGCTGTGCATATTTTCAACAAAAATAAATTATATAAACAAAGAAAACCCTCTGGAGCACAATGCTACTCCGACACACGTGGGGTTGCCATGAGTCGAAATCAACTTGATGGCAACTGATTTTATGTGAAGAATGTATCTTGCAAGATGGAACATATTAACTCTGTAAGGACTCAAAGGTAATCTCTCCGAGGTTACAGACCCAGGGAGCCTGGGTGAATTTCTTCATGTCAAAAAGGGAACTGCTGGGACATCCTGGACTCCAGCTCTCTATCCCTGATGCCACCCCTTTTCACTTCTCCTCCTGGGTTCAAGGCGGGGAGACAGCCTTGGCATCTATTAATTGCCTACTGGACGTGCACAGGAGTCCCTGGGTGGTGCAAACGGTGAACAGACTTGCTGCTAACTGAAAGATTGCAAGGTCGAGTCCACCCAGAGGTGCCTTGGAAGAAAGGCCTGGCAATCTACATCTGAAAAATCAGCCATTGAAAACCTTATGGAGCAGAGTTCTACTCTGACCCACATGGGGCTCATAGTAGTCGGGGCTGACTCAATGGCAACAAGTTTGGTGTTTTGGGTATGGATGAGAGGGTCAGCTCAAAGCTAGTGATGAAAAGGTCAGCTCCTCAGAGAATGAGATGCCCAGTCTACGGCTCACCAAGGCCCAATCCATTCGTTCATTCACTAATGCTGTCGTTGTGTGCCGTTGAGCCGATTCCGACTCATAGTAACTTTTAGGACAGAGTAGAACTACCCCATAGGGTTTTCTGGGCTGTAATCTCTACGGGAGCAGATCACCAGGTCTTTCTCTTGCAGAACGGCTGGTGGGTTCGAACGGCAGTCTGATCTTTTGGTTAGCAGCCGAGCGCTTAACTGTTGCACCATCAGGGCTGCTTCATTCATTAATACCTGCCTGCTCCCAAGAGGTGCTCGGACCACCTACTGTGAAAGACAGAAACCACAAAAGTGTGGAAATAAACATAAGGTTTATGCACCGTGGGGAGACTGGCTAAGGTCCATGTGGGAACTCGCTGCTATCTTGGCAACTTTTCTGTAACCTGAAAGCTCTTCTGGAGCCCTGGTGGTGCTGTGGTTAAGAGCTTGGCTGCTAACCAAAAGGTCAGCAGTTCGAATCCACCATCTGCTCCTTGGAAACCCTACGGGGCAGTGCTACTCTGTCCTGTAGAGTCGCTATGAGTCCGAATCTCCTCCACGGTAACAGGTAAAGCTATTCTAGAGTCCCTGGTGGTGCAAACAATGCCTGCCTTGGGCAGTGATCCTGGGGTGCTGTGTACATTACGCGGGCAAAAGGACGCACCTATGTCCTGGTAGTGCCAGCCGCCCGCGTAGAACTCCTCCAGCAGGGCAGGGGGCCGCCAGGTCTGAAGCAGAGAGTCCACCTGGTGCTGCTTCCGCCAGCTCAAGGACTGGCGCAGCATGTCGCGGGCCTTGTCCAGGTGGAAGTCTCGAGCCCGCAGGAACCGCAGGATGTGCCCGTCTTTGGGAATCTGAGAGGGGACAGAGGAGGAAACCCATAGGATCGTATCCCCTAATCCAGTGGGTGACAGGGCACAAAGCGAGTTTCCTGTCTCAGCTGCAAAAACGTTTGGCTGGGAATAGAACCTGATTTTCCCCCAAGCACAGGCAGAGAGGCAATCAAGGGATGGACTGTATGAAATATCACAGGATGGCCCCCTAGCCCCCACCCCAAAGAATGATCCAGCCCACAAGGTCAGTACTGCCAAGGCTGAGAAGGCGATAGCAAAGCATGTCTTATGGATACATAACCCACTGCCGTCGAGTCGATTTTGACTTATAGTGACCCTGTGGGACAGAACAGAACTGCCCCCATAGAGTTTCCAAGGCTGTAAATCTGTACAGAAGCAGACTGCCACATCTTTCTCCCACAGAGCAAATGGTGGGTTCGAACTGCTGACCTTTGGGTTAACAGCCGAGTGCTTAACCACTGTGCCACCAGGGATCCTTTATGGATACATGAAAAAAAAAAACAAAAACAAACCAGTTGTCATGGAGTGGATTCCGACTCACGGCGACCCCATGTGTGCAGAGTAGAACTGTGCTCCACAGGGTTTTCATGAGTGTGACCTTTTAGAAGCAGATTGCCAGGCCTTTCTTCCAAGGTGCCTCTGGGTGGGTTTGAACCGCTAACCTTTTGGTTAGTAGCCCGGTACTTAACCATTTGCACCACATGAGACAGTATATGATAAAAATAGGGCAAACTATAAGTTTCCCGTCCTGCTAATTCCATGAATGTATTGACCTCATCTTCCTGCCCACCCCCGATGCCTGTGCCTGAGTACCTGCAACTGAAGGTCTACATGTTGCTCCTCCAGGGGCCCAGCCCTGCACCCACCTTGCCTTTGTGGGTCTCCTGTAGCCAGTGCCGCAGCTGGATCAGGCAGCTCTCCTGCATGGGTGTAAGCTGGCCCAGGCACCGCTCAATGTAGTCCACGTCCAGCTTGTCCCCTTAGAGGAGGAGAAGGGAATTCATGAGAGGGAGACACCTCTTTCTGCAGTCCTCGCCTTGCTGGCCGACCTGGCTCTGAAACATGGTTCTCAGCCACACTGTGCCCCTTCTCCCGATAATAGCCACCTGGGCCCCAACCAGTTTCCAAGGTGGTGTTTTTGTCCAAGAAGCCTATGAAATAAAGATAAGAATTCCCACCCTCTAGAGCTGTTCTGAGGGCTGTTAACAACACGAGCTCGTGTTTACTGGGTGATGAGGGCCCATGTCAACCCAGGGAATCCTCCCAACAGCCAGGAGGGTGAGGCGGCCGTCTTAATTGTTCCCACTTTAGAGAACAGAGACATGAAGCAGAGAGGTGAAGTCAAGAGAGAACCTGCATGGCGTGTGCCCCGCATGAGGGAGGTGGCTGGTAGACATCAGCCCCCCTCGCTTTCTGATCCCCCTGACCCCCTGCTGGAGGTGAGACTTTTGGCAGCCAGACTCCACCCCGATTCTGCCATTCCATCCTGCGTCTGGTTAGGGGCCGGGGTACCGCATGCATCACCCCCACTGTGCTGCCCCGTCTCACTCGACTGAGCTGTTTGGACTGAGCTGTTTGGGGTCAGCATGGGTTGGCATTTAAAGGCCATTCCCCTACCTGAGTCCAAATGCCCTCCTCTTTTTTTTCCTTAAATTTTATTGTGGTACAATTTATATAATATAAAATGTGCCATTTTAGCCATTTTTAAGTGTATAATTCCGTGGCATTAATTACATTCAGCACGTTGTGCAACCATCACCACCATCTACTTCCAGAACTTTGTCATCACCCCACACAGAAACTCAGTACCCTTTAAATAATAACTCCCCTTCCCTTCTCCCCAGCTCCTGGTAACCACTCATAACCTTTGGTCCCGTGCATTTGCCTAGTCTAGACATTTCATGTAAGTGGGATCATACAATATGGGTCCTTTCACTCAGCGTAATGTTTTCAGGGTTCTTCCATGTTGCCGCAGGTATCAGAACTTCATTTGCCTTTATGGCTGGATGATACTCCATCGTATGGACAGACCACACTTTGCTTATCCATTCTTCTGTGGATGGACACACAGGTTGTTTCCACCTTTTAGCTACTGTGAATTGTGCTGCTATGAACATTGGTCTACATGTGTCTGAGTCCCTGTTTTCAATTTTTGGGGTATATACCTAGGAGTGGAATTGAGGGGTCATATGGCGGTTCTATGTCTAACTTTTTGAAGAACCACCAAACTCTCTTCCACAGTGCTTGCTCCACTCGACTGCCCCACCACCAATGCCCACTGCCCCTCTCTTAACTGGGTGGCAGACGGCAGCGCACCACAGCGTCTCAGCATCTCAGTATCTCAGCAGTGGGTGGAGACATTACACAAAGAAGCAGCCCGAGTGGACATAACGGTCCTTTGTGTACAGACGGCACAGTAGGAAAACAAACTGAATATCCACACTTCCAGCAGCGGGACCCAAAAAACCAAAACCTGTTGCTGTCAAGTCAATTCCGACTCATAGCGACCCTACAGGACAGAGTAGAACTGCCCCATAGGGTTTCCAAGAGGTGGCTGGTGGATTAGAACTGCTGACCTATTGGTTAGCAGCCAAGCTGTTAACCACTGCACCACCAGGGCTCCCAGCAGGGCCCAAGGCTCCCCCAAAACAGAGAAGCCCAGGGCAGGGTCACCCCAACTGCACCAGGAGGCATCTGTGTAAACAGAGGCAGGAGAGATGCTTAGGGGGGCAGGGGGACCATCCAGACCCCACAACACTGCACAGTAGTCAGAGGCAGAGATGCTGGAGACGGGGAGGGGATGGGCAGGGAGAAAACAAGGCCACTGATCCCAGCATCCTTCCGGCCTCCAGGCATATGTGAAGGTCCTTTCTCCTGAGCACAAAGGAGCCATGATTCAGTACAGGGTGGAAGGGGTGTGACTGCAGCTTCCGCTAGCTGTCCTGAGTGCCAGCCCTGCTGGGGCAATGGAGGAGCGTAGACAGAGAGGGAAGGACAGGCTGGGGCACAAGAGGGGACACAAAAGGGATGACACCACCAAATGTGTGTGCTGGAAGAGGCACAGGACGTGCTCAGAAAAATGTGCAGGCATGCTAGCAGCCAGCCGGTGTAGAGTTGGTGTGGAATAAATACCCTTGGAATGAATGAGTTTTGTTCTCCCCAAAAAAAATCAGCCGCTGAAAACCCTATAGAGCACAGTTCTACTCTGATACACATGGTGTCACCGTGAGTCAGGGGTGACTCTAGGGCAACTGTTTTGTCTTTTTTTTAAACACAGCTCCAGGCATATTAGTTACATGGCACTATCATCCGAGTATCCTGGAATCAGGCAAACTCCTACACTTCAGGGGCCCATTTTTTAAAAACTAGGCTCATGGTGTATGTACAGTTTTGTATCCTAGTTTTTAATGTTATATGTAGATATCTTCCAAGTTGTTAAAAATTCTTTGAAACATGATAAAGGGTTAATTGCCTTAATATACAAAGAGCTCCTATAAATCAATAAGAAATTGATGGGCAAATAGGAAAATGGAAACAGGACAGGAACAGGAATTCACAAAAGAGGAAAACAAAGATCTCTAAACATGAAAAAATACTCAGCCCCACCTATAATTAAAGAACTGAGTGACTGTTCTGCATCTTTCAAGAATTTAAAGCATTTAATAACAGTCTTGTGGGAAGTGGGGGTGGAGTCAGGAATAGACACAGTTACACACTTCTGGTGGGACTGTTAATTAGTGCAAACTTTTTGGAGGGTAGATAGGTAATATCTACCAAAATTTTAATTGTACATCACCTTTGACCCAGCAATCCACTTTTTAAATTTTATGCAAATATACTTTTTTTTTTTAAAAAAAACCTACCTTGAGTACAAAGATGTACCACATTGTTTGTATTAAAAAAAAACAAACAGACCTGAAGCAACCTAAATGCCCATCAAAAGGGAATTAGCTAAACAATGGCTCAGCCACACTATGGAATACCATGATGCAGTGAAACAAGACCCGTGGTCTGATATAGAAAGTTGTTTAAGAAACGTTAAAGCTAAAACCAAGCCCACTGCCATCGAGTTGATTCTGACTCATAGCAATCCTATAGGACACAGTAGAACTGCCCCATAGGGTTTCTTAGGCCGTAAATCTTTACAGAAGCAGACTGCCACACCTTTCTCCCACATAGCGGCTGATGAGTTCGAACCACTGACCTTTCGGTTAGCAGCTGAGCATTTAACTGCTGTGCCACCAGGATTCCTTATATATGCATATATGTACCTATATATATGGAGTCCCTGGGTGGCGCAAACGGTTAAGCTCTTGTCTACTAACCAAAAGGTTAGTAGTTCGAACCCACCCCAAGATGCCTCCGAAGAAAGGCCTGGTGTTCTGCTTCCAAAAGGTCACAGCCTTGAAAACCCTATGGGGCAGCTCTACTCTGCACACATGGGGTCTTCCAGAGTCAGAGTCAACTCGACAGCAACTATAAACAATAACAACCTAAATATGCTTAGATATTTTCAGGAAGTATGAACACAAAACTACCGGGGCCTCGAGGGAGAGGAAAGGAGTTCTCACTGTCCATCTCCCGAGCAATTTGAATGTTTTCTACCATGGTCATGCATTGCTCACATTATTAAAAACAGTCATAAACCAGAGGAAAAAGCAGTGCTGAGTCACCAGAGGTCAATCCCTGATCTAGAAATGAACCAGCTCTGGCTCTTGGACCAGGACGGACAGAGCAGCCAGAAGAGGGAGGGCCTGCAGTCCGTCCAGGACCCAGACTCAACCCAAGGGGCCCGGGGCAATTCTCCCTTCGCAGAGCGAGTGGAGCTGCTGTGGCCTTCCTGGGACTGCAGGGAGCCGCAAGGGCAAAACCTGGTACTGGCCTCGCCTGCAGGGACCTACCGTCCACAGCGGCTGTCTCGGGAGCCAGGCCCAGAGCGCTGCTGCACCTGCCGGCCTCTGGGGGGTCCGGGTCCCACGGTGCAGCCTGGGTGCGCATGTCTTCCTCTCGGACGGGGGCAGGTGTCCACCGGGGAATGTGAGAGATACCCTGGGAGATGAGCTCGTTCAGGTAATGCTCGATCACCTCCTTCCCCTGGAAGCCAGAGACCCCGAGACACATCAGCAGGGAAGGGCGGCCGGGGCTCCAGCCTCAGGGCTGCCCCTGCTGGGCCCAGGCCCAGCCCCAACACACAGCTTGTGAGCAGCTGACATGTGCCTGTTCTGAATGGAGATGTGCTATATGTGTAACACACACCACATTCCAAAACTTAGCACATGTGATTGTTGAATATATATAGTACACAGTCTGAATTGTGTCCCCCAAAAAGGTATGTTCAAGTCCTAACCCCCAGTGTCTGAGACTGTGACCCTATTTGGAAATAGCGTCTTTGTAGACCTAATCAAGTTAAGATGAGCTATTAAAGTGCACCCTAATCCAGTAAGACTGGTGTCCTTACAAGAAGAGAAGAGACACAGAGGGAGAAGCCCTGTGAAGACGGAGGCAGAGCTTGGAGTGATGCTGCCACAAGCCAAGGAATGCCTGGGGCCGCCAGAAGCTGACAAGACAAGGAAGGATCTTCCCCTAGAGCCTTCAGAGGGAGCATGGCCCTGCTGACACCTTGATTTCAGACTTCCAGCCTCCAGACCTGTCAGAGAACGAATTTCTGTAGTTTCAAGCCACCCAGTTACTTTGTTATAGCTGCCACAAGAGGCTGATACAGTATGAAAGAAAGAATGTAAAATGTCTCATCTAATTTCATATTGATAGCATGTTAAATGCAATATACCATTAAAATTAATTCCACCTGTCCCATTACACTAAAAGGCCTCTACTCAGTGATAAGTCTGAGATCTTTAAACCAAGCAGCAATCACTTTAACCAGGAAAAGTCACCGCAGAATGTCCCTCCTCCATCCAGAGAGTTCACTCTACAAGGCCAACATCAGGGGGCTTCGGAACAGTGATGAGGGTGCACCCGCTATGGACCGGTATTTTCTGCCCACTATCTCAGGTGATATGGTCATTACTACTACACTCATTTTACAGATGAGGGGACTGAGCCCAGGAAGGTAGGATCACATGGGTTGTCAGTTGGGAGAGCAGGATTTGAACCCAGGACTGGCGGCTCCGAGGTCTGGGTGAGGACCCGAGCCCACCTCTCACCCTCTTGATGTTTGCTGTATACTGCTTCATGGCGATCTTCTCCAGGGCATTTTCGAAGCCAAAGAAGGACCGGATGTCAAGGGAGGCGGACTGCTCAAAGCAGGTCCAGTCTTCATTCTCGGGGTGGACCTGAAAGCCAGAAGTGGTGTGGTGACAGGGTCTCAGTGTGGGGATGCTAAGTCCTCCCCCAAGGCTCTCCCAGTGACCTGGACACAGCCAGGACACACTGTGGACAACCCCAAGTTGGGGAGGCAACAGTGCCAAGGGACCTTGCCCAAAGTCTAAACTGTTAAGGAACAAAGAGACAGCTCAGCAGGGTGGTGCGAAAGTCAGGGTGATAACCGTGCCCCTGTGCCTTACGTGTGTGTGTCTGTGTGTCTGTGAGCAAAACCATTTGCTGTTAAGTTGATTCTGACTGATGGTAACCCCATGTATGTCAGAGTAGAACCGTGTTCCATAGGGTTTTCAGTGGTAGATCGCCAGGCCTTTCTTCCAAGGTGCCTCTGGGTGGACTGGAACCACTGAGCTTTTGGTCAAGCAAATTAACCATTTGCACTACCCAAGGACTAGATAGATAGATACTTGTGTGTGTGTATGTATATATACATGTGTGTGTATATATATAATATCATATATAATATCATGTATGTATTATGTATATACTATGCATATCTGGAGCCCTGGCGGCATAGTGGTTAAGAGCTTGGCTTAACCAAAAGGTCAGCATTTCAAATTCACCAGCCACTCCTTGGAAACCCTCTAGGGCAGTTCTACTTTGTCCTACAGAGTCGCTGTGAGTCGGAACCGACTGGATGGCACCGAACAACAACATGCGTATATATTCTGTATGCAATATCGCGTGTATATAATATATATATAATATTATATATAAAATATTGTATGTATAAAATAAGATATATAATATCATCTACATATATTATGAGGAGCCCTGGTAGCGCAGTGGTTAAGAGCTTGGCTGCTAGCCAAAAGGCTGGCAGTTTGAATCCATCAGCTGCTCCTTGGAAACCCTATGGGGCAGTTCTACTCTGTCCTATAGGGTGGCTATGAGTCAGAATTGACTCGACAGTAACAGGGTTTTTTTTGGTATATGTATTATGTAGGAGCCTTGGTGGCACAATGGTTAAGCGCTCGGCTGCTAACCAAAAGGTTGGCAGTTCCAACTCACCGGTGGCTCCGTGGGACAGAAGACCTGGCAATCGGACCTTCCAGTTAGCAGCCAAGTGTTTTAACCACTGCACCACCAGGGCTCCTCAAAATAAGTAAAATATACTATAAAAAAACTATACATATATCACCTACACAAACACATGTTATTAAGAATTATATATATAACAGCAAAAACAAACTTCGCTGACAGAGCTATTCTGCACACCTCAGATCAGGGCTCCTCAAAGTCCGTGGGCTGAATTACCACCTGGGAGTCTGTTAAATATGCAGGTTCCTGGGCCCAGCCCTAGAAACTTGTGACTGAGCAGGTCCAGGGTAGAGCCAGGGAATCTGCATTTCACAGCAAGCAGCCTGGGTGATGCTGATTCAGCTGACGGCAGAACTCCCTCTGAGAAACATCACACTAAAAGGGATTTAAAAAAAACTACGACCCATGCCTCCCTTGAGGGAAACATCTGAGCATCCTGGGACTAGATTCCAGGAGGCTGGAAAGGAGCTGCAGTTGTGGAAAGTGAAGGCAGGGGGCCAGCCGTCTGGCCCACTGCTGGGAGCCCAGCCTTGGCAAGGTGCCTAGCATACGGCAGGTGCTCAATCAGAACGTGCTGGAGAATAATAATAACAATAATTAATTATATTAAGAGGTAATACCGAACAATTGCCTCCTTTGCCATGAGACGAGAAGAACTGGATGGTGCCCCGCTACCATTACTGAACATATCAATCAAAGATTCTATAGAAGAATCCTGATCAAAAGGAGGAAAAGGTAGAACAGAATTCCAAATTCTCATTGAATCCAGACCTCCTGGATCCATGGGAGCTGGATGAACTCGTGAAACTATCGCTCTGAGATAATCTCTAAACCTTAAACCCAAAATATCCCCTGAAACAAAGATTAGACTGGACTACGGGACATAAAATGATACTCGTGAAGAGTGTGCTTCTTAGCTCAAGTAGATACATGAGACTAAATGGGCCGCTCCTGTCCAGAGGCGAGAAGAGAAGTCAGAGAGGGTTAGGAGCTATTGAATGGACATGGGGAATCCCAGGTAGGAAGGAAGAGTGTGCTGTCACAGTATAGGGAGAGCAACTAGGGTCACATAACAATGTGTGTATAAATTTTTGTATGAGAGACAAACCTGAATTGTAAACTTTCACTTAAAGCACAACAATTAAAAAAAAAAAAAAAGAAAATATCCCCTGAAGTCTTTTTAAAACCAAACAATAGCTTAGTTTAACTAATAACGAATGTCCTGAGCATTATGCTCTTTTAAGAACTATCTATATAGGATCAAATTGATAACAGCAACTTGAAAGTTCAGACAGAAACCTTACAGATGGTGAGTTTATATTAATAGGGGAGTAATAATTCAGAAAAGGAGAGTGAGAATGGTTGCACGACTTGAAGAAGGTAATCAGTGTCACTATATGGCACATGAAGAAATTTGAATTGGTGTATGTTTTACTGTGTATATTCTCAAAAACAAAAAAATAAATAAAAATTTTTTTGAAAAAGAGGTAATACCTACACAGGGCATAGTATGTACCAGGTGTTGGTCTAAGGGGTTTGGCTATTTTACTTCATTTAATCCTCACCACAAGCTATGTGATGGGTTTGATGATTAACCCCATTTTGCAAATCCAATTAAAACATGGGCAAAGGATATGAACAGACACTTCACCAAAAACATTCAGGTGGCTAACAGACACATGAGATCACTAGTCATTAGAGAATTGCAAATCAAAACTACAATGAGATACCATCTCACCCCAACATTACTGGCACTAACCAAAAAAGCAGAAAATAACAAATGTTGGAGAGGTTTCGGGGAGATTGGAACTCTTATGCACTGCTGGTGGGAATGTAAAATGGTACAACCACTATGGAAAATGAGATGGAGCCTCTTTGCTGTTGTTGTTAGGTGCTGTCAAGTCAGTTCTGACTCACAGCAACCCTATATATGACAGGAACGAAACACTACCCAGTCCTGCGCCATCCTCACAATCATTGCTATGCTTGAGCCCATTGTTGCAGCCACTGTGCCAATCCATCTCGTTGAGGGTCTTCCTCTTTTTTGCTGACTGTCTACTTTACTAAGCATGATGTCCTTCTCCAGGGACTGATCTCCCTCTCGATAACATGTCCAAAGTATGTGAAATGTAGTCTTGCCATCCTTGCTTCTAAAGAGCATTCTGGTTGTATTTCTTCCAAGACAGATTTGTTCGTTCTTTTGGCAGTCCATGGAATAGTCAGTATTCTTTGCCAACACCATAATTCAAAGGCGTCAATTCTTCTTCGGCCTTCGTTATTCGTTGTCCAGCTTTGACATGCATATGAGGTGATTGAGAACATGTTTTAGTTATCTAGTGCTGCTATAACAGAAATACCACAAGTAGGTGGCTTTAACAAAGAGAAATTTATTTCCTCACAGTAAATTAGGCTACAAGTCCAAATTCAGGGCATCAGCTGCAGGGGAAGGCTTTCTTTCTCTCTCTGTTGGCTCTGGAGGAAGGTCCTTGTCATCAATCATCCCCTGCTTGAGGAGCTTCTCAGTGCAGGGACCCCAGGTCCAAAGGACACGCTATTCTCCTGGCTCTTGTTTCTTGGTGGTATGAGGTCCCCCTGTCTCTTTGTTCGCTTCTCTCTTTTATATCTCAAAAGAGATTGGCTTAAGACACTACCTAATCTTGTAGATCTCATCAATATAACTGCCACTAATCCATCTCATTGACATCATAGTGATAGGATTTATAATACATAGGAAAATCACATCAGGTGACAAAATGATAGACAATCATACAATACTGAGAATCATGACTGAGCCAAGTTGACAGATATTTTGGGGAGACACGATTCAATCCATGACAAACACCACAGCTTGGGTCAGGCGCATCTTAGTCTTTAAGGTGACATCTTTGCTTTTCAACACTTTAAAGAAGTCTTTCACAGATCTGCCCAATGCAATGCATCGTTTGATTTCTCGACTGCTGCTTCCATGGGTGCTGATGTGGAACCAAGTTAAATAAAATTCTTGACAACTTCAATTTTTCTCCATTTATCATGATGTTGCTTATTGGTCCAGTTGTGAGGATTTTTGTTTTCTTTATGTTGAGGTGTAATCCATACTGAAGGCTATAGTCTTTGATCTTCATCAGTAAGTGCTTCAAGTCCTCTTCACTTTCAGCAAGCAAGGTTGTGTCATCTGCATATTGCAGGTTGTTAATGAGTCTTCCTCCAATCCTGATGCCCTGTTCTTCTTCGTATCATCAAGATTCTCAGATTCTTTGCTCAGTTTACAGATTAAATAGGTATGGTAAAGGATACAACCCTGACGCACACCTTTCCTGATTTTAAACCACACAGTATCCCCTTGTTCTGTTCCAAAGACTGCCTCTTGATCTGTGTACAGGTTCCTCATGAGCACACTTAAGTGTTCTGGAATTCCCATTCTTCTCAACGTTATCCATAATTTGCTATGATCCACACAGTTGAATGCCTTCGCATAGTCAATAAAACACAGGTAAATATCTTTCTGGTATTCTCTGCTTTCAGCCAGGATCCATCTGACATCAGCAATGATATCCCTTGTTCCATGTCCTCTTCTGAATCCAGCTTGAATTTCTGGCAGTTTCCTGTTGATGCACTGTTGTGGTTGCTTTTGAATGAGATTCAGCCTGTGATGTTAATGATATTGTTTGATAATTTCTGCATTTAGTTGGATCACCTTTCTTGGGAATAGGTATAAATATGGATCTCTTCAAGTTGGTTGGCCAGGTAGCTATCTTCCAAATTTCTTGGCATAGACGAGTGAGCACTTCCAGCGCTGCATCCATTTGTTGAAACGTCTCAGTTGATATTCTGTCAATTCCTGGAGCCTTGTTTTTCACCAATGTCTTCAGTGCAGCTTGGACTTCTTCCTTCAATACTATTAATTCCTGATCATATGCTACCTCCTGAAATGGCTGAATGTTTACTAATTCTTTTTGGTATAGTGACTCTGTATTTCTTCCATCTTCTTTTGATGTTTCCTGCATTGTTTAATATTTTCCCCATAGAATCCTTCAGTATTGCAACTCGAGGCTTGAATTTTTTCCTCAGTTCTTTCAGCTTCAGAAATGCTTAGCGAATTCTTCCCTTTTGGTTTTCTGTCTTCAGGACTTTGCACATGTCATTCTAATACTTTACTCTGTCTTCTGGAGCCACCCTTTGAAATCTTCTGTTCAGCTCTTTTACTTCATCATTTCTTCCTTTTGCTTCAGCTACTCGACATTCAAGAGCAAGTTTCAGAGTCTCTTCTGACATCCATTTTGTTTTTTTCTTTCTTTCCTGTCTTTTTAATGACCTTTTGCTTCCTTCATGTATGATGTCCTCGATGTCATTCCACAACTTGTCTGGTCTTCAGTCATAAGTGTTCAAGCCCCCACAGTATGACAAACTGACAAATTCTTGGCAGGGGGGGAGCCTCCTTAAAAGGCTAGAAATAGAAATAACATAATCCAGTAATCCCACTCCTAGGAATATATCCTAGAGAAATAAGGGCCATCATGTGAATAGACATATATATACCCATGTTCATTGCTGCATTATTCACAATAGCAAAAAGATGGAAATAACCTAAGTGCCTATCAATAGATGAATGGATAAACAAATTATGGTACATACACACAATGAAACACTACTCAACAATGAAGAACAATGATGAATCTGCAAAACATCTAACAACATGGAGAATCTGGAGGGCATTATGCTGAGTGAAATAAATCAATCACAAAAGGACAACTATTGCATCGGACCACTATTATAAAAACTCAAGAAAAGGTGTATAGACAGAAAAAAAATAAACTGTGATGGTTACAAAGGAGGGGAGGGTTGGGAAGGGGAAATCACTAAGTAGATAGCAGACAAGTGTCAACTTTGGTAAAGGAAAAGACCACACACAATACAGGGGAAGTCAGCACAAATTGACCAAGACCAAGTCATAGAAGCTTCCTAGACACTCCAAACATCTTGAGGGACCGAGCTGTTAGGGCTGAGGGCTGGGGACCACGGTCTCAGGAGACATCTAGGTCAACTGGATAACACAGTTCATTAAGAAAATATTGTACATCCTACTTTTGTGAATAGCATGCGGGGTCTTAAAACTTGTGAGCAGCCATCTAAGACACATCTCTTGGTCCCACCCTGTCCAGAGCAAAGGAGAATGAAGAAATCCAAAGACACATGGAAAATATTATCCCAAAGGATTAAAGGACCACATGAACCACAGCCTCCACCGGCCTGAGCCCAGAAGAACTAGATGGCGCCCGGCTACCACCACCAACTGCTCTGACAGGCATCACAATAGAGGGTCCCAGACAGTGCAGGAGAGAAATGTAGAACAAAATTCAAATTCACAAAAAAAAAAAAAGAAAAAAAGACCAGACTTACTGGTCTGACAGAGACTGGAGGAACCCCTGAGACTATGGCCCCTGGATACCCTGCTAACTCAGAACTAAAGCCGCTCTCAAAGCCTACTTTTCAGTCAATGATTAGTTGTTGTTGTTAGGTGCCATTGAGTGGGTTCTGACTTGTATCAACCCCATGTACAAGAGAACAAAACGATGCTCAGTCCTGCGCCATCCTCACAATCATTGTTACACTTGGGCTCATAGATGAGACAGGCTATAAAACAAACAGTAACACACGTGAGGAACGTGCTTCTTAGTTCAATCAAGTATATGAGACCAAATGGGCCACACCTGCCTAAGAGCAAAGACCGAAGGCAGGAAGGGACAGGAAAACTGGACGAATAGACACAGGGAACCCAGGCTGGAAAGGGGGAGAGTGCTGACACATTGTGGAGATTAGAACCAATGTCACAAAACAATTTGTGCATAAATTTTTGAATGAAAAACTAATTTGCACTGTAAACTTTCTTCTAAAGCAGAATAAAATCAACAAAACTCCGTTGTGCAGATGAGGAAACTGGGGCACAGTCTGATGAAGGAAGGAAAGAGGGGAGGAAAAGAGGAAGGGAGGGAGCAGGGTTACCAGATTTAGCAAATAAAATACAGGACATCCGGTCCCATTTGAATTTCAGATAAACTATGAATAATATTTTAGTATGAGTATGTCCCGAGCAATATTTGAGACTTACTAAAAACCACCACTTGTCTATCAGTGTGTGGTACTGTGGTGGCTTGTGTGTTGCTGTGATGCTGGAAGCTATGTCACCGGTATTTCAAATACCAGCAGGGCAACCCACGGTGGACAGGTTTCAACGGAGCTTTCAGGCTAAGACAGACTAGGAACAAGGACCTGGCAATCTATGCCCCACAAAAAAAGTAGCCAGGGAAAACCTTATACTACAAAAGTAGCTGCTGTTAATCCGACCTGCTAATGTAACTGGGCGTGCTGCCTCCGGCAAGGCCTAGGAGGGAGGGAGGGAGGGGCTGGGGACCGAAAGCGCATGCCGGCACAGCGCTGGGCACAGAGGCGGGTGCCAGGGCCACACGGCGACGCTCACCGTGTAGCTGCAGTTCTCGCGGACCACCACGCGGCTGGCAAAGGTCTCGTTGTGCGCGTCAATGAGCAGCGTCCTCTCCTTCCAGTTCAAGACGTTTCTCTGAACGAAGACGACGTGCTCCACGCCCGCGATCTGCGAGAGAAGGGCAGCTGGCCGTGGAGCACGCGGGGTGGGGAACGACCCCGAACCCCCGGACCAGAATCCCAGCCGACCCCCACCCACATCCCTTCCCCGCGCCCCGGCCTCACGTCTCCAGCCCCACCCGCCCCCGCCCCGGCCCTGGACCCTTCCCCCCAGCCATCCTACACCTAGCCCAGGACCCCCAGACCTGGACCCACCGGGACCCTTGCTGCCGCCCAGCACTCCAGCCCCGATCCCGCTGCCTGGTCCCCGCCCCGCCGCCCGCTCCCCTAAGTCCCCCCACCCCCGGCATCACATACCCCTTCCCAGAACCCTGGACGCCGCACCTCCGCCCATACCTGGTCTCCCGGACCCCCATTCCCTCTCTTCCCTCACTCCCATCCCCGGCCTCTGAACCCCGGCGCAGCCCCCGCTCAGCACCCCTGTTCCCGCCCCCTGCCCAACTCTGGGTCCCCGTGCCTCGGGTCCCCCACGCCCTCTGCCCCCGTCCACCTTCCGCAACAGCCGCGGGGCCTCCACGCGCAGCTGGCAACTCCGCTCCACCACGTGCACCGCCCCGTCGGCGCTGCGGGACTCGCGCAGGACCTCGCTGCCCAGGAAGACGGGTATCTGCGGGCAGGTGGGGAAGCGCTTCTCGTAGGCCTGGGGGTGGGGGAGAGCGGGCGTGAGCGCAGAGGGATCGGGGTGGGGTGGTTTTACACACACACACACACACACACACACACACACACAGAATTTTTTTTTTTTATTGTTGTGGTTTAAGTGGAAGTTTACATTTCAAGTTAGTCCCTCATACAAAAACTTATACATACATTGTTATGTGATCCTAATTGCTCTCCCTATACTGTGACAGCACACTCCTCCTTTCCACCCTGGATATCCCATGTCCATTCAACCAGCTCCTGACCCCCTCTGCCTTCTCATCTCACCTCCGGACAGAAGCTGCCCATTTAGTCTCATGTATCTACTTGAGCTAAGAAGCACACTCTTCACGAGTATCATTTTATGTCCCACAGTCCAGTCCAATCTTTGTCTGAAGAGTTGGCCTCAGGAATTGTTTTAGTTCTGGGTTGACAGAGAGTCTGGGGGCCATGCTTTCTGGGGTTCCTCCCGTCTCAGACCATTAAGTCTGGTCTTTTTACTAGAATTTGAGTTCTGCACCCCACCTTTCTCCTGCTCCATCAGGGACTCTCTGTTGTGTTCCCGGTCCGTCATTGGTGGTAGCTGGGCATCATCTAGTTCTTCTGGTCTCAGGCTGATGAAGTCTCTGGTTTATGTGGCCCTTTCTGTCTCTTGGGCTAATACTTTCCTTGTGTCTTTGGTGTTCTTCATTCTCCTTTACTCCAGGTGGTTGGGACCAATTGATGCACCTTAGATGGCCACTTGCAAGCTTTTAAGACCCCAGACACCACTCACCCAAGTGGGATGCAGAACATTTTCTTAATAAACTTTGCTATGCCAATTGACCTAGATGTCCCCGGAAAGCATGGTCCCCAGACCCCCGCCCCTGCTACTCTGTCCCTCAAAGTGTTTGATTGTATGCAGAAAATTTCTTAGCTTTGGTTTAGTCCAGTTGCGCTGACTTCCCCTGTAGTGTGTGCTGTCCTTCCCTTCCCCTAAGATAATTCTTGTCTACTATCTAGTTGGTAAATAACCCTCACCCTCCCTCCCCACCCTCATAACCATCAAAGACTGTTTTCTTCTGTGTTTAAACCTTTTCTTGAGTTCTCATAATAGCACACACATAATTTTTAAGGCACCCCCCCAAAAAAAAGAAAAAAACCCTTGCCGTTGAGTGGATTCAGACTCATAGCGACCCTATAGGACAGAGTAGAACTGCCCCATAGGGTTTCCAAGGAACAGCTGGTGGATTCGAACTACTGACTTTTTGGTTAGCAGCCGAGCTCTTAACCACTGAGCCACCCAGGGCTCATGTGAACATATTTGGTATATTATGAATGTATACGTACACATAGGCGCCCTGGTGGCACAGTGGTTAAGCTCTGCTAACTGACAGGTCAGTGGTTCAAACCCACCAGCCACTCCACGGGAGAAAGATGCGGCAGTCTGCTTCTGTAAAGATTACAGCCTTGGAAATCCTATGGGACAATTCTACTCTGTTCTATAGGGTCGCTATGAGCTCGAATCAACTCAACAGCAATGGGTTTTGGGTTTAAAGGAGCCCTGGTGTCGCAGGAGTTAAGCACTCGGCTGGTAACAGAAAGGTGGGTGATTTGAACCTACCCAGCAGCTCTTCAGGAGGAAGACCTGGCGATCTGCTTCTGTAAAGATTACAGCCTAGAAAACCCTATGGGGCAATTCTACTCTGTTTTATAGGGTCGCAGCGAGTTGAAATCAACTTGATGGCAACAGGTATATATACATATTAATATACATGCTGTTGGTGAACCCCTTGGCTGGTGCCCCCTGTGAGCTGCAGCGAATCTCGTCTGAGGTCAACAGCACAGACTCTGGAGCCCCCTGCCTGGGCACAAACCCCAGCTCCACCACTTACGAGCTGTGTGACCTCGGGCAGGTTACTTAACTTCTCAGTGCCTCAGTTTCCACACTTGTCAATGAGCTAATACACAGCCCTACTGCTCGGGGTCACCATGAGGTTATGAGGGAGCTGAAATGGGTGCTAGAAAGGACACCTGGATCATTTCCCAGGGCTTGGTGCTGAGCGTAAGTGGCTGTCGAGCTCGGCTCCATGGCACTGAGCCTTGCTGTCCTTGAAGCCACCTCAGGCCAGCCACCGGCTCGGGGCTGGCTCCCTGCTTCAGGGCAGGGGGTCCTCAGGCAGGTGCAGAGCTGGGTGAGTGGCTGGAGAGGACCCCCAAGCCCATGAACAGGGCTCAAGAAGGGCGAGAGTCCGTGCCCAGTTCTAGAAGTGCCAGGGTCGGGGCGGTGGGGGGCTGTGCCTGGCATCTGTGGCTGATGTTACCCAAGTGGGGTCTGCTCCAAGCGCCTGCCACAGCCCACGTGCCCCATAATCGGGATCAACACGAGTCCAAAAATAGCGCTGACATCTAAGGACAGACACCTCCTCCCCCACTCCCCCCCACCCAGGCTCCCCAGAGAAGTGTCACCTGTCCCGGAGCAGGGGGAGGAGGTGGAGAAAGAAATGGGACCATGCCCAGGTGTCCTTGGTCTCACCCCAGTCCCCACTAGGCCAGCCCGGCGTTCCCCCACCCACGGTCAGAAGGACAGAGCTGCCTCCTGCCATATTTTGAAGCTGGATGCTTTGACAAAACAGAAGCATTAGAACTAGGAACCCTTATCCCCCAGGGGAGATTGCACCCTGCGGTTCCTAGGGGTCCAGGCTCAGAGGGCTGGCAAAGGGGGATCCCTGAGAATGGTGTTCCCCCTACACATCTCAAGCCACTCTGGACCCTCTTTCAAAGGAATCCAGTTACCACGTGGGTAAGAGCATGGGTGGGTCAGCAGCCTGCCTTGGAAGCCCAGCTCCAACGCAAGCCCCTCGCTCTAAGCCTGATTCATCACCAGGAAAATGGGCACAAAACCAAGCTTGTCTCCCAGAGGACGACACTAGGTTGAGTGTTGCATGCACAGTAAGTGCATATAACTTGTATTCTTTGGGGCCACCTCCAGGCAACAGGACCCACATAGGGGCCCAGCAAGGTTGGCAAGAACCGAGAGGCTCCCTCCTGGCCCTTGGGCGCACTAGTACCCATCAAGTGCAGGATGGAGCCGTGATGGAGAGAGGGGTGCTGACTTTTTTTTATATATTGTTGTTAGGTGCAGTCGGGTCGGTTCCGACTCATAGCGACCCTATGAACAACAGGACGAAACCCTGCCCGGTCCTGTGCCATCCTCACAATCGTTATGCTTGAGCCCATTGTTGCAGCCACTGTGTCAATCCATCTTGTTGAGGGTCTTCCTCTTTTTCAATGGCCCCGTACTTCTTTGGTTGCTAACCAAAAAGGTTGGCAGTTCGAATCCACCAGCCCACTCCTTGGAAACCCTATGCCACAGTTCTACCCTGTCCTATAGGGTCGCTATGAGTCAGAATTGACTCAATGGCAACGGGTTAGTTAGTCAGTTTCTGCTTTACCAAGATGATGTCCTTCTCCAGACCCTGGTCCCTCCTGATAACATGTCGAGAATATGTGAGACAAAATCGCGCCATCCTTGCGTCTAATGAGCATTCTGGTTGTACTTCTTCCAGGACAGACTTGTTTGTTCTCCTGGCAGTCCATGGGATATTCAGTATTCTTCGCCAACACCATAATTCAAAGGCATCCATTCTTCTTCAGTCTTCCTTATTCATTGTCCTTTCACATGCATATGAGGTGACTGAAAACACCATGGTTTGGGTCAGGCACACCTTAGTCCTTAAAGTGACATCTTTGCTTTTTAACACTTTAAAGAGATCTTTTGCATCAGATTTGCCCAATGCGATGCATCGTTTGATTTCTTGACTGTTGCTTCGACGGGCGTTGATTGTGGATCCAAGTAAAATGAAATCCTTGACAACTTAAGTATTTTCTCTGTTTATCATAATGTTGCTTATTGGTCCAGTTGTGAGGATTTTTGTTTTCTTTACGTTGAGGTGTAATCCACACTGAAGGCTGTAGAATTAGATCTTCATCAGTAAGTGCTTCAAGTTCTCTTCACTTTCAGCAAGCAAGGTTGTATCATCTACATACAGGTTGTTAATGAGTCTTCCTCCAATCCTGATGCCACGTTCTTCTTCATATAGTCCAGCTTCTCGGATTATTTGCTCACCATACAGATTGAGTAGGTAATGGTGAAAGGATACAACCCCAACACACACCTTTCTTGGCTTTAAACCACGCAGTATCCCCTTGTACTGTTCAAATGACTGCCTCTTGATGATCTATGTATAGGTTCCTCATAAGCACAATTAAGCGTTCTGGAATTCCCATTCTTCGCAATGTTATCCATAATTTGTTGTGATCCACACAGTCGAATGCCTTTGCATAGTCAATAAAACACAAGTAAACGTCTTTCTGGTATTCTCTGCTTTTAGCCAGGATCCATCTGACATCAGCAATGATATCCCTGGTTCCACGTCCTCTTCTGAATCCAGCTTGAATTTCGGGCAGTTCCCTGTCGATGTATTCCTGCAGTATATACATATATTGTACCACAATAAAAAAGGAAAGACACTCCCTTCTGCGTGTAACCTGTGGCTACTCAACCCGCCAGTGCTCAGCCTCAGGCCTTGGGGGACCCCAGACCTCAGGCTCCATCCGACTGGGGAAGGCGGAGACCAAGATGAGGAATTCTTCAGCATCCACGTACCAGCTCTCCAGCCTGGGGGACCCATAGGAGTTGTGAGGTCCAGCGTCAGACACTGTTTTTAGCTGATGTTTACTAAGGTCTAACTCCTTATCTTTTGGGGGGACACAATTCAACCCATATCAGTCCCCATTCACTTGGCAGGCATTTGTATTTTACACAATAAGTGTTTATTCAATGCCTGCTCTGAGCCAGGCACCGGCAGGGGACACCAGTGAATAAGCTGGGCCCTCAGGGGCGCTAAGAGTCATTGGGAAGACAGACACGTCCCCATCATACGGGGGGCTGTCTGAGGAGCCCGGTCAGGTCTGGGCCAAGAGTGACCCCAGCCCATTGGAGCAGAGGCCCAGGTGACA